GAACAAATCTGTGCGTACTAACGGTTCTTGCATGAGGCCCAATGAGTCTCAAGAGATTTTCCTGTATAAAGGATAAATAAAAATAGATACAAAAATATTTTCAAGCTTGGAATAGAATAGAAAAACTTTTTTGTTTGTCCAAGAGGGTGACGGAAATTTAAAATTCAATAAACATTTAAGGTACACATAAAAAACACATAAAAGGGGACAGCTAAAACAACTGTTATAAGGGTGTTAAAGTATAGTTCTCATTTTAAAGTGTTCAAAGTGGGTGTTGCAAACAGAATACAATTCAATTAAAAGATACTTTATAGATCCCAAAGGGAAATTGGATGTTGTAGTAACTCAAATGACTTTCTGTATTTACTGTAACTTTTTGGGTCAGATGGACTTTCAACCTAAATTAAACCTTAAAGAAKATGAGCTCTGCACAGCACATATACAGTGTTTTCCTTATATATGCAGTAATCAATAGGGACAGAAAAACTATAGGAGTGTGGGCTGAWTTTTGCAGTGTTTCCAAATTATTTAATTTCTACACTGATAATGAGGTACCTTGATTACAAGAAGTTTTTTTAGCCTTTGATTGCAAAGTGTAGATTAAATGCAAAATGTCTGTCCTAATTAAATGATTTGCTCACCGAGCTGCTTTTTAATGTTTTTCTTGTTTATCCTCTGGAGTTTTATGAGCCTGTAGAGTTACACTGAAGAAAGCAGAACTTGATTTTCAAAATAAACTCTTCAGATTCCTTTTCTGGTGTTTCCACTTTTGCTGCAAAACGCACAACTTTTCTGGACCATTAAACTCAACACAATTATCAGCCTCCGTGAATAGTCAACACATGTTTTAAAATGTAAAGAAGTGTATTTGATAAGTTTTAGTTTGTTTTAATGTTTTCCAAAGGCTGCCAATGAGGAATATTTACAGTTGGTCAGTGAGAAAGATGCTCACGTCACAAAGGCAGAAGACACGATTCGGGAGAATGAAAATGAGATTCAGCAGCTGAGGAATGCTGTCACCAGGTGAGGTCACGGCCACACATAGTTCTAATTGTTTTTTTCACGTGGAGCAAAAGTTGAGTGATTTTCTTGTTTCTTCAGTGCTGAAGAGGCACGCTTGGCTGTGCAACGACTTTGTGAGGAGCTGAAGCAGAAACTGGAGGCAACAGAAGCCGAACAGCACAGCCAGTATCTGAAGATGACTGCAGAGGTTGATGACCTGAACAGAACCAAGACCAATCTGGAGGAGCGGCTCATCGAGCTGATAAAGTACGATTCTTTCTATTACATCTGTGAGAAAGACCGTCCATTCAGGGGCTTCAAAAGTTGCAGGAGTAGGAGGATATTTAGAAAATGCAAGGGGCTCACCAGCTACACGGTGAAGCCCAGAGCCGAGCACCGAAGGCACGAGGTGATGGGGCGGTCTTTGCACTTGGAACAAGGCAGCGAGGGTGTTGGAKGAGTCCAAAATTAGGAGTTTTCCAGGACAATTTGTAAGAATTTTTAAAATTTGTTTTAAAGAGTGTTGAGTTATTCCTTTTGAGAATACCTTTTTTAACAATTTACTTTCTCTTTTTTTATCTACAATGAAAAAACGTTTTAGTGCTGAAAATTTAATTGTCGTTTTAATAATAAAGTACAAGTAATCACAGAGCCAAATAAATGAAACTTCAGGGTGAATATATAAACAAGTTAATATTAGAACATGTAAAGCAGGTTGGAAGATGGCTATTCAACGTTATATATTTATTGATTTATTTTTTAAACTTCTTACAGGATCTGACATGTAAAATAAATTTGAAACAGAGTTGTTTTTTTTAAAACACAAAACAAAAAAAATCTATAAAATTGCTCTATATGTTCGTATACCTAGTATATGTAGATTTTACACACGGATTTTCACTGGCTGCCTGCATGTTTGAACCCTGAAACACACAAAGGGATTTGAATCCAGATTTTATTTATATATTCAGAGTTTGACTTCTTTGTTTTAAATTGCTTGGCGTCTGCAATTACTGTAATTCCTTGAGAGCCTAGGCTTGCGTTCCTCAGTGTTCACAAAAATTTGATCCTATTTTACATTTGAACGTAGTTCATGGAGTCAGTGTATTTATGTAGCACAGATCATAAAGACATTTAGTGACCTGAAATCAGAGTTGTAAAGTAACTAAGTACAAATACTTCTTTACTGTACTTAAGTAGATTTTTTTGGGGTATCTGTACTTTGAGTAATTATTTTT